TATATATATATATATATATATATATATATATATATATATATATATATATATATATATATATATATATATATATATATATATATATATATATATATATATATATATATATATATATATATATATATATATATATATATATAGATTGGGGTTCACAGTGGCTCGTGAATTTCAACTCTAAAAAAACCCAGTTGCTTACTGCAAACAACTATCGTAATATGGTCAACATTCCTATATTAATGAACGGCAATCCTCTTACTGAGTCCTCCTCTTTACGTCTTCTTGGATTATCACTTACTACTGACCTTTCATGGAAACCATATATACAATCGATTGCTAAATTAGCTTCTGCTAAGGTTGCTTCTCTTTATCGTGCTCGCCATTTCCTTACTTCTGATTCCATTCTCTACCTCTACAAATCTCTTATTCGTCCCTGTATGGAATACTGTTGTCATATTTGGGCCGGTTCTTCTAACAATTCACTTTCTCTTCTTGACAAGGTCCAAAAACGCATTGTAAATGTTGTTGGACCTGGACTATCTGCTAAGCTTGAACCTCTTTCCCATCCTCGTAAAGTTGCATCTCTTTCTCTTTTCTACAAATACTATCATGGTCACTGCTCAAAGGAGTTATAATCTCTAGTTCCATCAACTAAAATTCATTCTCGTTTTACTCGTCTTTTAAGTCTCATTCGTTTACTGTATCTGTCCATGCATGCTCTAAAAACTTTTATTCATCTAGTTTTTTTCCCCGCACTTCAATCCTTTGGAACTCTCTCCCATCTTCATGTTTTCCTGACTCATACAACCTTCAACTTTTCAAGCCGTCTGTCAACCGTTTCCTTGCTCTATAACTCTGTTCTTTTTTTCCCTAGTAACTCCCAACTTAATAGTGGTTGCTTGCAGCCTTGTTGGGAGTGAATGCAAATAAAATATATATATATATATATATATATATATATATATATATATATATATACATATATAAATATACAATATTGGCCATTAATAACAACCCAGCATTTTTTTTTTGATATCATTGGACTTTTATATTAAATCAATGATTTTTGACTCTTCTTATATATAAAAAATGTATATTGATAAGTATCCTATTTTCTTTCAATAAATATAGATATTCATAAAAATACTATTTGATGTGTTAATTATATTACTTTTTTTTTTTGACATATACCTCAAAATCTATAAAAATTATTCTGGCCAAAATTAATAATCCACTCCTTTATTTCAAACTTCCTTTAAAATTTCATTTGTCTTTAATTAAAACTTTGCACTTATTTGCAAACTATTTATACTTATTTGAGAATTTTTATTTAAATTGATAGAAAATTTTGAAAGATTTGTGTAAAAATAAAAAATAAAAATGAGTATCTAATTATTTAGTGCCTTCTATTGACATTTTCCTAAAAGACATGGGAATACTACCTATACTGCTAAGATTTGCAAGCAATTGTTTGAAAAAAACAACATTAAAACCATGTCTTGACCTGTCAATAGTCCAGATCTCAATTACATAGAGAATTTGTGGTCAGGGTTAAACCACAATCTTGGTAAAATTGAAATAAAAGATAATTGTTGTTGGGTTTCCACTCTAATTATAATTTAAAAAAAATCATTATCTTCATAAATAGGACGCATACACCAGATAGACACAGATGATTTGCCATTAAATCCAATCTTTATATTAACTCAATCATACTGCACCAGTTTTCTTTTATAAGCAATTTATAAAATAATCAAATACAAGTTGATGTTTTTTATAGAATAGTTTCTTATTTAAAACTTTTATTCATTTAATTTTTTAAACTTGATATATTAAATTTAGGATGAATTTTTTCTTTTGACAATTGATAGTTTTTTTATAATGGAAGTTTTCAAAATAAGTATTTTCTTAATAAGTAACATTAAAATACATTTTTTAATTATATTTCGTTTGATTATTTATAAAAATCCTAAAAAAACCCACCTCTCAATTTTGCACTAAAACACTCTATTAAAATCTATTTTAATAATAAAAAAAAAATCCCAAAAAAATTAATACTACCACAGGCCTTGTGATGAATAAAAATTGCACGACGCATAAGCACGACATGATTTTTGACGTCATTAAATTCTTTTTATTTGCTTTTCATATTTATTGACATTAACTGCACCAATTTACTTAATTACCGCAAAACTACTTTAAATCATTTATGTAGAAATGTTATTATTTAAAAATGTTTTGGAATGTTTCGTTTTTTAAAATGTAAAAACATTTGTTTATTTTCTCGACGTTTGACACATTTTGTCTATACTAAACGAATAAAAAACATAACTAAACATTATAATAAAATATGTCAATATTTGATTTTTTTTCTTCTCAAATATGTAATTTAAAGTTTTTCAAATAATTATTTTTACTTTTTAAAAAATCAGCAAGTAATAAACTGGAAATTTAAATATTGTACGATTAAAAACTGTGCAATAGCTAAAATTTTTACTAGCGATTTTATATATTTATTTGTTTATTTTTATTTATTTTCATAAAGCGGTTGATAAGCACAATCACTCGTATTGCTAAAAAACTTTAATGAACGTTTTGAATAGATTTTTAATGTTTACAAGGAATTTTATTTTTGGTAAAATAAAATAAAATGTTAGAATAAAAATCTTATAGGTATAAAAGACATATTTCAGCGAAAAAATTATTCTTAAAAATTATTAATAAAAATTATTCGAAAAACTATTGACGTTCTATTTTTCAGCAGCTGTTCTTGAGCACACTTTCTTGAGTTTCGGTAACTTTTAACAAAAAAGCGATTGTTATTATTTAAGTAATTTTTTTTGAGTTATTTTTTACAAAAATTTTAAAAGCTGTACTTTTTAATTGAATCAAGTAGAATACGTTTTGTTATTAATCCTTTTTATTAATATTATTTATATTTTTTTTATTTGCGCTTACCAATTTTTAAAATGTTTCCTCAAAATTACTCTTAAATACTTTAAATATGTCTAACAGTTAATAAACATTTTTAAATCTATGGAATAATTTTAAAACCTAACAAACCCCCGTAAATAAATTATTTAAGTTAAAAATCTAAAACTAAAAGAAAGTATTTTTGTTCAATTTTATCGACAACTTTGCTATTGCTGAATAATTTTATTAAAATGTTAGCTTAAAAAGATTTAAACTTTTTTTTCAATCTGAATTTTTTCTACTTGTAAATAATGAGCATGTTTAATTTTTTTGTAATTCAAACTTTTATCTCAACTGCGTGCGGTTTTTAAAATACTTTATTAAATGTTAAAATAATCAAAAATTACTTCATTAAAATTCCGCTCAAAAATATCTTTAAATATACTCAAACAAAAATTTATTTGCTCAACGCAAATAAATTTTCCGCCTTTATTAGAATTTAAAAAATAGTTATAGGTGAATTACAAATCCCATATTGATAGAGTTCTAAATGTTATTATCAAAACAAATTACATACTATTAGTCTTAAAACCTATTCTAGTGGTAATTTTCAGTTTAATTGCATGTTTAGTTGAACAGTAACTTGTAAAATCAAAACTATAAATCAAAATGGAGGCCAAACAACACTGCTAAAAATAGCAGATTTTAAAGTAACAATATCTCCAAAACCCATTTGGAATTAGCGCTAAAGATTTGCAATGTAGTCTATGCAGGGTGGCCACACTCTTTTTAAGTTAAAAAATTAGAAGAAATTGAAGATTTTAATAGAATTTTTTAAACAAAATATAAATGTTATTCAAAAGTTTTAATAAAAAATTTGAAAGTTTAAGTTGAATGTTCAAGAGAAACCTTAAAATTAAAAAAAAAAACAAGTTTAAATTAGGATATTTTAGGAGTATTTTTGGAATTTAAATGTAATTTAGGAGAAGAACTTTAGAAAGGTTTTCAAATATTAGGATATTTTAGGATTTATTAGGAGTGGCCACCCTGTCTATGTCATATAGGTACACCATTTTTACAAAATATGAAGAAAATCTGAGATGAGGGGTTACAAACCTTAAAAACTTGTCCCACTTTCTTATGGAATACCTCATATATATATATATATATATATATATATATATATATATATATATATATATATATATATATATATATATATATATATATATATATATATATATATATATATATATATTTATATTTATATCAACCTGGCATTGCCCACCTAACATTCGGCAATGCCCACCTAACTGCCAACCTGAAAGTGTTTGAGTTTCTATGTTTTGTGGTTAGACCTTTGTATTAAATAATTTTTGCCGACCTGATACCGACCTCAAAAAGTATGAGGCATATTATTGCTGACCTTAATTTTTCTAATTACGAGGGTTTTGCATATATATATAGGCCTCAGCGGGAATAGATAAACACGAGAGCGTAGAAAAGCTCTCCTAAAACAAACTTGGGGAGCTGTGCGAGCTGCTCCTTATTTAAATTAGCGCTCTTTTTTAATTTTAATTTTTTTTGTTGCAACAAACATGCTTTTTAAAAAGCATTGTAGTATATTATGCTATTAATTTTTTTTTTTAAATGACATTGTTTTTTGTTTTAGTTACAACAATACTTATACTTTCATGAAAAAAAATATACTTTAGCGAGAGCCATAAACTGCTCCCGTAAACCGTTTTAGGGGAGTGTGGGCGAGAGCAAGAGCTAAAGCTCTCGATTCCCGCCAAGCCTATATATATATATATATATATATATATATATATATATATATATATATATATATATATATATATATATATAAACATTAATAGTTATTTTTTAATATTTTTAATACTTGTGATTAAAAAAATTCTTTTTCATGAAAGTATAATTTATTAACAATCTCCTTAAAAGCTGAAGTCTAAAATATTTATATATATACTTAAATGCTAGACATATCTATAGCTTTATAAAGCTATAGCTATGTCCAGCATTATTTTACAAATATTTAAATTGTAAACATAAGTATAAAAACATCTTACTCTGTGTCAGTTTTCCTTTCCCTAAACAAGTAGGACATTGTTGAACATTTATATGTAAGTAATTGTTGTGATCACATGATCCATCTTCAAATGATATATGTTCGTTGCCTGATAAAAGTAGTTTATTGTCAAAAGATGGATCAAGAGATGACATACTGCTACATTAGGTTCTAAATAGCTTTCAAGAAAATCAGTGATTTTAAGAAAATCAGATTTGAAGTAACTTTTAAATATCTAAAAGAGATAACACAAGTATAATAGGGTATAAAAAGTACTATAGACTACGTATAAATATACTGTAGAGATATAGGGTTTCATGGTACAACTGAAGAAAGGAAAAAAAGTTAAAGAAAAAAACAACAAAAAACGATTACCTTTACAAATAAAAAAAATCAACTTATTTATTTCGAAAGAAAAAAACAATCAAATAAAAATGTTGATTTTTAAAGCATTATTTTCCTGTCCTTAACTATAATAAAGAATAATTGACACATTTAATCAAGCTTCTACTTAAGTATAAGCAAAATCAACAAAAGTATTTTTAGTTGTTGTTATTAAGAAACTTTAAGAGTAAACACTTATGTGGTTAGTATGTACATAGTACAATGAAAATACAATACTACCTTCAAATAAATAAAAAAATGGATTTTTATGTTTTACAAAAAACAATTATACATCACAGCTTACATTACAAATAGCCATGCAATTTAACTTAAGGCATTATTTTGAAACGTTTTCTCACAAATTTTTTATGTATTAGTGAGAAAAAACAAAAAAAAGGAAACAAAAATACAAAATAACATCTTTGAAAAATAAAATTTTCTTAATTTGTAACTAGCTTTTTTAAAAACAATTCTGCAGATAAAAAAAAAATAGATCGTTAAGCATACTTTAGTATCAATAGATAAATTTTATTTTTTTATGTTAACTTTGTAGAAGCCATTGTTTTAAACTTTGCAGCTGCTTCACGTTTACGTTGCTGAGTTCGAACCCATTGACGATAATCACTAAGAGTTTTAATAGATTCACCATAATAATCATCTTCAAACTTTGAATCTTGACTAAATCTATGCTTTTCAAGTCGTTTTAAGAAATCTTTATCTTTTTCTTGCAAACGAATTGCCTCAGTTTTATTCATTAAAGTCCAAATCAACTTATAAAAATTAGTTCCTAAAACATATCCAAGAAAACTTGATGACACACCACATATTCCGCAAAAGACTATTGGATCAAGCCCCATTATTAATTGCACATTTTCTGGGGTTGCATCAAACATATCAGGAACCAAGTAAGCTGTTGCCATAGAAGAAATAGTTAAACCAGTAAATGCAAACGGAATTCCAGAAAGACGCTGTTTAGTTCTTAAAGAACGTTTTAAACTTTGATATTCATCAAAACTTAATGCAGAGTATTTTTCAGGAGAGGAACTCATTTGCCCTCCAGATGAATGTTTCATACGTGTTGCTATTACAGGATAGAAGCAAATCACCACTTTTTGCTGTTTTATACAAAAATTTACCACATTTTTTACAGCCATTTATATTTGCCCTAAACATAGATAAATTAATCAAAATTGTCTAGTTTGCATTCAGTAAGCATTCATATATCCTTTTTTTTACCTTTAATATTTACTACCACAGATTTTTTAGATTTTTAAATGCAGACCTAAAATTTAAAAAAAAAAGATGCAAAAAAAGTAGGATTATTTTTTTTTTATTATTATTAATCTATTTTATAGATAAACTCTACTTTCCGCAGCATGGAAAGTAGAGTATATCTATAGAATTTACACAAAGCGTTTTAATTGTCAAATTTATACAACACAAATGTTGCAAATAATTTGCAACATATATATATATATATATATATATATATATATATATATATATATATATATATATATATATATATATATATATATATATATATATATATATATATACACATTAATACTTTTTTATTGACATTTTTCCAAATAACTTACAAAATGAAAAAAAAATTTGAAAAGTGAATGGATATCTGCCTCCAATTTTATTGTATAAAACAATATTTTTATTCAGAAAATAAATATAAAAATATTCTAAAACATATTTTATTCAAAAAATATTTTAAAACGAATATTGAAGTCTTAAAAAGAATATTCAACTTGTTGCACACTGTTTAATTCCTGCATTTTCTTCCGCCCCGCTTTTTTGGCTGACCGGCAGTTTCTTAGAATTGGCCGAAAACCAAAACCGGACCGAAAAAATATTTAATTTTTTTGTTGTGCTACATCTTCCATTGAGAAAAGGAAATTTATTTTTTTTATGGAAAAATTATTAGATTTATTAAAATTGGTTGAAATTTGAAAAAATTTTATTTCAAAGATATGGTGCAATAATTATAGGTATAATCAATATGCGATGTGTCATAGTTAAGTGATCAAAATTAATTCGACGAGAGTTCATATACAAAATTATTATTTCTAAGTGTATAATAAGATGGTGTTGAACACAAGGGAACCAATCTCAGATTTATTTTAAAATTCAGTTTATGTCCTCTGAAAAAGATTTGTCTATTATTAATGTTCGTCATTCTATGGCATAGGAACTAGCCCAAATTATAGGTATTTTATTCAGACGGTATTGCGGTGCAAAAACCAACTATCATTGTGGTTCTATTGTGCTTGAAATTTTAATATATTTACATGTTTATGACATAATGCTACATAAAACCAACGAAGTTAGTTCCATTGAACATACAATATACGCAATAATAACATACGTACTAAATGTACGGCGTTACGATGCACAGAACCAACTTTGCTGGTTCCATTAATTCAATAAATTATTGCCATTATGCTTTATGGAACCAATAATGTTATGATAAGCTCTAAAATTAAATTTACATGTTATTACACGAACCCAGGTTGTTTCATTTCCATTTTATTTTATATATTTACGATTGTTTATCGCTCCCTAGCGTATTAAGGCGAGTTTCCACTCATCCGTTTTTTCACGGGAACGGGAAAGGGACGGGAAAAATAATCACGTGGGCAAGATTATTATAAGTTTTAATATGTCCGAAGGAAAACTACGCATGCTCACGTGATTATTTTTCCCATTCCTTTCCCGTTCCCGTGAAAAAAACGGATGAGTGGAAACTCGACACGGACGTAAACAAGACGTCTTTTAAACGTCTTATACACGTTTTGGGTGTCTTTTAAACGTCTTTTGAACGTTTTGGACGTCTTTTGAACGTTCAAAAGACGTCTTTTTTTGGTATTTAAGACATGGGTTACTACACCGCTGTGAAAAATCTATGTGTTTATTAACTGAATATTATATGCAATTTGCTTTTTTTAATTTAAAATTAATTTACTATGACAAAAATATGTAATAAAATCATATATTGTTATTATAAAGCCAAAAATGTCTGGACCACGCCGTTCTGAATGCAATTTAAAAAAAAATAAAACTTTAAAAAACCCTGTTTTTTAAAGGTTTATATATATTTTTTAATTGCATTCAGAACATTCAAAGGCTGAAATTCCAAATAACGAAAGTTATTTGGATATCAGGGTTTATTTGGATATCATTTTTCACTGTCGTTGTCACGACAGTGAAAAATGAAAGAATGATTTAAAAACTTTTGTAGTCAATAATAAAATTAGTTTGTTGTCATTTGTTATTTTTTTCTTCGCAATTAAAATAATTGATAATGCAATATTTTTTAGTACACAGTGGAATCAATTGTTTCGGTTCTATTTTGTTTAATTTCAATTTGACTTGTTCACAGGGGAACCAGTTGAAGAGCATTTTTCTAAAAGGAACTACTCAAATTTTAATTGTTTTGAGAAACATGATAAAAAATAATTATGCGGAGAAGTATTTAATTAACAATACTTTAACAAAATAAGTTCTCAATAGAGAAATTATCCAGTTGGCACCGGACCAAAAAAAGACGTCTTTTGGTCCGGACCAAAAAAAGACGTTTAAAACGTTTAAAAGACGTCTAAAACGTTTAGAAGACGTTTTAAATACGTCTTTTTTACGTCCGTTTAGAAGACGTTTTAAATACGTCTTTTTTACGTCAGCAAAGAAAATATTACCCAGTGGGCAACAACTGGGTAATATTTTCTTTGCTGCATTATCTAAGTATGATGAATACATGTCAGGTTCAAAATATGCTCTATCTCAACACATTGACCAAATTTTATGGCTAAAATGACGATATCACAATGGGTAATATTATGGAAAAATATCTAAGTCATCTTTACGAAATTATGTAGATTGCTTCCTCAACAATTCAACCGGTATCCTGTCTACAGTTAAAACGACATTGTATTTGAGTGTGGTCTTTCTATTTCTGTATAACTTAAGTAATAATGACGATGATCATTTATTAATAAATTTATTAACTTTGCATCGTTCCTGCCAGATGAACTTGAGCTTTTAAAATCGTGCAAGATGAACTCGTGCTTACTGAACCATTACTAGTTTATGAACCCATACTAGATTAATTGGTCCCAGTGGGCACAGGACGTAAAAAAGACGTCCTTAGGACGTTCAAATCGCGTCCGTCCGTCCCATTAAAATTCTAAACGTCTTTTGAACGTCTTAAGACGTTCAAAAGACGATTTAACTGATTTATTTTTATTTTAATAAAACATTCTGGATATTTTTTGGACGAAAAAATTATTGGACTCGAATAAGATCTTATTCGAGTCCAATAATTTTTTCGTCCAAAAAATATCCAGAATGTTTTATTAAAATAAAAATAAATCAGTTAAATCACGCAAGCGCTAAAACTTCATAAAATTTTTAAGTAACGCATTTTTAATAAAGTTTTTTTTCAATTACAAAAGAAGTCTTTTTACAACAACTAATAGACACGTTCCATCTAATTTTTATTTTTGTTATCAATTGAAAATTGTGGTAATATGGTAATACATGTAATGAAATTTTTACAGATAATGAAAGAAACGGTTTAAAACTGAATATATGCTATACTATGTATAT